AGCAATTTCTGTCTCTCTGGGTAGATCAAAAGCCTGGCCCCAGGAGGCTGTGCCATTCAGGGCAACCTGCCAAACTGTCCTGCTGCCCCAGGTACCACAGCTGCAGGTACCTCTGCTCTGGGAGCTGGTGTTCATGCAGCAAGCCTGTGCTTGTGCCAGGACAAGGCACGGTGAATTTTCTGGGAAACCAACATGGGAATTTAGAAATGCCAGCATGACAACACGGGAACTTGAAAAGGCCACTCTTTGGTCACTGGGGACCTTGTTAACCTCACTTGTTAATCACTGCTTGGTGTGAACCCCATAATAAAAACCAAAACTCTATACTTTCATAGCCATCCTTCACTCAACAAGGTAGTTATTCTTTCTCTTTTCTTGCACTCAGAAATTAATACTTGTTTTTAATCCAAGAGCAATTGAGTCGTGACAAATATTTTGTTCTCTATAAATACATTTCTTCACCATATACCATGGTGATCTCTAACCTCTATTCTGCCCTTCATGCATATATGAAGTACACTGCTCTGCACAGTGAACAAAGGAGAGTTCTGTATGAACAGTGGATGCTGAGGGTATTTCAGCTACACTGGTAGCAGTTCCCTCCTTTAAAAGAGCCACTCTTTCAATAGCCATGCTTATAAACACTACTGAGCCTCCTGAGGTTAATTCACACAGAACGAAGTTTATTCATTTCAATATTGTCAATTTAGTTAGAAATATATATCAAATTCAATTCTCTACCTCATCTTTAACTTTTTTCCACCTGCAAGTCAAATTAGGGAAGGAAGGAAGGAAGGAAGGAAGGAAGGAAGGAAGGAAGGAAGGAAGGAAGGAAGGAAGGAAGGAAGGAAGGAAGTAAGGAAATTGTGCACCACCTGCAAGTCAAATTAGGGAAGGAAGGAAGGAAGGAAGGAAGGAAGGAAGGAAGGAAGGAAGGAAGGAAGGAAGGAAGGAAGGAAGGAAGGAAGGAAGGAAGGAAGGAAATTGTGCACAGTCAATGAAGCAGACCCAGTCTGGAAATAATGAACTATTTCTTGGTATTAAAGCTAATTGTATTGTGATAGAATCTTCCTAAGGTAGCAATGCAGTTAAATCATCACTGATGCTAGTCACTGCTTATGGATTTTGAAGAGGTCACAGTCCTGCATTATTACTGATTTGAAGCAAATGACTAATCAAATCTTTTCCCCTTCTAAATTTGGTGAAAATCATTATGATACTCTAAATGGACACAAAAGCTATACATACATTTGCTGGATATTGTCAAAACATGTCTCTTCTACCTTATTGCTCATCAGTAGCTTTCACATTAAGCACATTAAGAATGAATAGAGAGATACTGTAGTCCTTTTGTGTAAGCATATTCTTTGATGAAGTCTTAAAGAACATGCTCTTTATCAAACAATTGTGCCCACCCTTTTCTTGAGTTCTTCATACTTTGCTTTGTCCCATTTTAGCTGAAATAGTTGTTGCCACATGGTAGAATTGACAGGTAGGCTTGATGCATCTCTGCAAAATAAAGCATCTCTGAAACTGGGCTCTTTAAAATAAAAAAGTGTGAGTAACATCAATCTGAGTCTTTTCTAAAGCAAAGCCCTGGAGACTTGTGGTATGCTTGTAGCCAGTCACGTGGGGGTTGTCATGGCATCACTGCTCAGAAAAGGAATGAATAGCTGGTGGTAGCATTTCAAACAATACATTTAACAAATACAAAACAAGAACTGAATGTTATAGCAAAGTATTTTATTCATACATTAAATAGATTACCAGTTATGCTTCACAAACCAGATTTACTTCTCACTGGTGAAGGAAAGACAGTGGTGTAAGCCATTAATAAGATCCATGGCAGGGGGATTACAACCAGGCAATCTTTAAGGTCCCTTCCAACCCAAACCAATCTATGATTCTACGAATAATTCATACAAATATGTAGAGGACTACATAATGGGCTATATTTACTGAGTCTTGAATTGTATGGCACACCTCAGTAATGCTCTGAACAAACCCACTGTGTGGTCTTTTGCTCTGCAATACATTTTTTAGAACATTTATTTTATTGATTTAAAATGCACTTTTCAAAAGCCAGGGCAAATGTGTTCATACTCAAATAGTTCTGGGGTGTAATAGAATTTTTACTTTTCTTTACCTGCTTTATATCTGACTGCTAATAAAAACAGACAAAGCAGACTTCCAAAAGCCATTTACCAAGCTGACTACTGGTTCTCATCCATGGCCACCTTGGCTTTCATTCTTCTTAGGCAGTATTTGGCAGAAAAGTGAATGGGGAAAGATGTTTACTAGGGCCCTCTCAAAAATAGGAAAAGTTCTTCTGCTCATTCAAGATCAGCTTAGTCTCCTCTGAAGATGACTTTGAGCTGACACAGATCATTTGAGGTTTCTGTTCTCACAGTATGGGGCACCCTGAAGCTGGGTCTGGCAGACTGCTGAAGAAGTTTGCTTTTGGTTCATGCATTTTCTTTATAAGGTCCTAAGGAGAAGACTTGAATTACAACTTGCAGCTGCCATGGGTCTTTAAAACAGGTAGATTAATGCACATTATACAGGAGTACTGGGAAGTAAGGAGGGAACCTTTGGCAGATAGTACCAAAATTCACTGACGAGAATTGGTCTGTTCAAGGACAAACCAGGGGATACTCCTTTTTACTGCAAGGCAGTTTGTGCAGGTTGATCTTACACAGTGTTTCATGTGGGTGCAGCAACACATCTATCACAAAACTACCCAACACAGAATCAGTGCCAGTGCCCTTTTTAATATGTATCTTGATTATCTTTTTCATTTCACTGGTTAAAGTAAGGTTGATTATAGGCATTAGTGATTTTTATTGCATTTGGTGTGAAATGGAGCTTAAACAGCAGAAGCAGACATATAATTAAAATCTTGATACCTACTAATTTTGCGCTGTAAGGCAAACACTCTTATTCTCAGACGAATGATGGAAGGAAATGAAGAGTGTTTTTTCCCCACTGTTTGTGTTAATTTCTTGTTAATATAAAAGACAGCTGTGGAGAATGTCAATCAAAATAATAAAGAGTACAGAATTTAAGTGTATTTTTTCAAACACCTACATAAAATTGTGCACATAACACAATTATATTTTGCTCTTGAACAAATAAAAGTGCTTGGCAGGGCCTTGGCCTTTTAAATGTTATATGTTTAATGATCTGTTATGCACTGATCTGAAGGACATCATTATCTTTCAACTGATTTTGAGGAAGCCCTTAAAATATAAGAAAAGCATAGACTCTTAGATTGATGGAAACATGGCTCAGTAAGAAATGAAATCACCTGGCACAGGTTCCCAGCTGCTTCTCAATTAAATTCTGTGAAGGGAAGTGGCTTTAAACTTCCTCCTTGGTTGCCTATTCTCTTTCTACCCACAGAAACTGTGCATGTATGCATTCTAAACTGGGTTCTGAGGGAAATTGATATTGCTGAGTTTTATTTTATTTTGACATAAAGAAAGAAAAACTCAGCAGTTTCAATAGTTGTCTTCATGTTGAGCTACCTAAGGCCCAGAAGGTCCTTTCTATCAGAAGATGGTGATGGAAGACAAGGACAATAGGTCCTACCACTAGTTCTAACTTCAATTCTAAACTTAGAGCTACAGCAGGAAAATCTTTAGAATGGTGGCTCACTGCTTAGTCAAAGCAGTCTTCTGAAGCATCCTTAAAAAGCTGCAGACTGGACGTGCATATAATTTCTTAATAGCAAAAAGTATTTGCTAAAGAACAGATGAGAAATGAGTAGATAATTAATGTGAGAATATTTTTATTTTTCGCAAGAACTGCATTTTTCACTATGTATTAAGACACAAATACATTTAGCTTTCACACACAACAGAGAGAATTGTGTTTTCTGCAGCATAAGAGCAAAGTAGTCAGTACCAGACTGCATTGTTAACCTGTTAATCTTGGAGTGTGCTCATTTTCTCATTGGAGGTCTCACCCTATGGCTCTCCTAGGTTTCTGGGTTTGTTTTTTAATCTCACTTTTGTTTTGGTCTGATTTTTAAGCAAAATAAAATATATAGGGCTGTAAGCTCTGCAGGTGGTACTGCTGCTAGGAATTTGATTCTTGAGTTACTTCCCACCATGTGGCAAATTAGTGAGTCACTGCCCTTTCCTCTCCCGCTCCCTTTGCCAGCAGAAGAGCCTGGGCTGACTCAAGAGCTGCTAGCTACAGCAACTGCTCGTGTTTACTGCCCAGTTACAGAATAATAAAATGCTTCTTCTGCCATTGCACACCCCATAGTGAGCGTATGTTTGAGGTACTGTTGCTCACCATGACCAGAAGTGTTTTTTCATGTCTTTCATTTGCTCTGAACATGGAATATTTACTAAGAAAAGGCAAGATGGTGAATGTGCATTTTCTAAGGCTTAAAAACTTTTCTGTATGTATGAAGAGGAAAATATGTCCTGTGGGTTTGTGTTTTTTTTTTTTGGTTTTTTTTTTTGGTTTTTTTTTTAAGATGGTGAATGTGCATTTTCTGAGGCTTAAAAACTTTTCTGTATGCATGAAGAAGAAAATATGTCCTGTGGGTTTGTGTTTTTTTTTTTTGGTTTTTTTTTTTGGTTTTTTTTTTTGTTGACAGCTTTCCTGACTATTTTAAAGTTGTGGCTATTTCTTACCTTACTCTATGAAGTGTTTTGCACTGGCTGACTTTGAACATATGCACAGACTGAAACACAGGATGGGAGCCACTTGTGGGTGTGTTTGAGGATCAAGCTCAGTCTGCCTTCATTCATTGCCTGTCCCTGGATGTTTGTTTCAAGACGCTAAGAGAAGCCAAATAATTGTTTGGTCAGTTCAGCATGTTACATGACAGGACCCCATGCTGTGACTCTGACCCTGCAAGCACAGCACCTTATCAGATCACTCATGAGCAAACCACCCGAGTCAGTAATTGAAGAGCCCATTTGTACCCAGGGGGATAAAAAAAGCAGCTGGAAGCCTGCTGGGATGAGTGGGATGGGCTCTGTCTGTGCATGCAGCATACCCAGGGGCTTCCATCTAAGAGCTGCCTGCCCTCGTGCACCAGTGTGAGCAAAGCATGGCACAAGTGCTGGCAGTGCTGCAGAGGGAGGGGACGTGAGGGCCACGGCCCCCGCTGCAGTACAAAAGCAGATTGACCAGGTGCTTCCTTTAGACTTGACCCCTTCTGGAAGGTTTGAGCAAGAATTAATTTTTGGCTGGGGAAAAGAAAGAGGTTGTTTCCCACTTATTGTCTGAGAAATTGAGAGAAGGGAAAGGGGGTGGGAAGAGAGGAAGAGGAAAGGAAAAACATTGCTATAATCACACAGAGTTCTGTTTATCTATATGTATTTATATCTACCTACAGAATTTAAAATCTTTTGGACTATGTTTACTAAAATGTACAATTTCCTTGATCTCCAGAAAAAATTGCCAAGAAGACTAACACTGGCAGCTAGTGTTCCTGAGTGGTTTTAAAGTGGGAGAAGGCCACAGAGGAAGAGGACAGGGCAGGACATGACTGTTGAGCAATGGCTGAGCTCCTGCACTGAGGTCAGTTTGCTTGTGCAGCAGCCCTTAGCTTTCTGAGGAAGGCTGGTCTCCCTGTCTGGATGGATGATACAGGGTAGTTACACAGAGGTAAAGCCAGAGCCCTGTCCCCCACCTTTGCCTGAGGAGGGGTCACTTTCTGAGTGATAACCTCCTGTCCTGGTGCTGGCCACAGAGAAGGCACTTGGGTGGGGTAGGTTCTTGCTGCTGAACAGCTGGTCTGTAGCCAGAGGCCAGCATATCTGAGGACAGAGGGCTGGGTGAATTTTCCTGGCAGTCCCATGTTCCAGGTGAGGGTCTGTGTTCAGCCACATGCCCCCTGGGTACAAATGTCACTGCAGCAATGGCTGCAGTGAGGGTGTCAGGCTTCTGTGTGTGCAGGCTGGAGGGTGTTGCTGATTCTTTGGCTGGCAGGTTTTGTACTTCTGGGTATTTTCTTTATATCAGACCTTTGCCAAGCATTACACGAGTAAATCAGCCAAATTTTCTGCAGGAGGCATTGCTAAATCTGCAGCTGCAATGAGGGCTGCTTACCAGCACAGGCAAGGACCATGTTGCTGGAGGAGAGATGTCAGCCTCCTAAGAGCAGCGCAGAGGAGGAAACTCAGGAGCCTGAAGCACAGCGACCTCCTAAGAACAGACAAAGCAGGGTGAAGCAACAAAGGCTTTCAACTGAAAGCAAATGCTGACAGAAACATTGTTCTGGGTGCATGGCCTGTGGCCAGTGCTCCTGGAGGGAATGCTGTACGCTGCAATGGGACATGGTGCTGCTGCAGGCCTCGCCCTTCCCCGGCTCACGAGGCATGTGGTAGTACATGCCCATGTTAGTTCTTGCTAATGTGTGGCTCAATGTTTTAGATTTTCTTATATTGCTTTCAGGGCTGATATTAAGTCCTACTGCTGTAAACAGCTGGTTGCTTTATACAGCTAAAAAAAAGTTAGTGGAGAAAATGAGAAATTAATTAGAATTTTATTAGGTCCTGCAATGTGTATTCTTGTTTCTTTTTCCACTCCATCCTGCAGACCTGGATAATCTTCAAAAATAATTTCTTTTTTTTATTATCTTTCTTAATTTTTTTATTTCTATTTTCCCTTTTTATTCTCATTTTTTGACCTTGGAAATAATTGAAAAATATGAAGAGAAAGGCACTGTTTCCCTGAATGCAAGAACCGTCTAAACACTAACTCTGGGCTGATGTTCTAAACCTATTTGACATGCAAAAATTGGTTGCTTAAGGCCTGTGTTTGATTTCGTTAAAAAAAAAGGTCTGAATTTCTAATATAATGGCACCTGTCTCATTCTCCTTACTGGCTTGGGGAGACCTGCCAATTGCAAAATCACACCGATACAATTAGTCCTGTCATCAGCCAGAGGGACACAATAAGCCAGCCCCTGACAAGAACTGCTCGTCATACCTGTGTGTCCTGCTACTCTTCTGCACAAGGCAGAGAGGAAGGCCAGTCCTGCAGTGCTGCCTCTGGATTTACCCTCTGGCTTACTTGGATTACTCTGGTTTGCTGGCGCAGAGGAAGCAAGTTACAAGGTTCTGGCTCTCTGAAGAATACAGCATACAAACACTGTCCCTTTTTTGTTTTTGAGTGAGAGCAGACGTCTTGAACAGGCAAGTTTTGTTGTCCTTGAGGGTTTTATGGGCCACCATAAAGCCAGAGTGGTCAATCTCTTTGAATGAGGCTCAAAGACAATGTGAGAATGGTTCATTTCCAGTAGAGTGGCAAGCCAGCTATGCCAGCCTGAGATGGGATTAGCTGCATGCATTAGTTTCCAACTATGTATCTTGCCTTCTGGTCAGACACCGGCAAATAATGCCATTCTCAATAGCAAATTAATTTCTGTTTGTTTAAATAAAGCCATGTTAAGGCTTCACTGTGGATGCTCACAAATATTCCTCTTTGGCAAACCAAACTTTCCCAGTGGGTGCAAGAGGAATAAACTCCTGGGTACAAGGAATATATTTTTGTTCTTTGACATTTCCGCTTATTCTGTGAGTGACCAGACCTTCCATCTGTGGAACTGAGTTGCATTATCACAGCTATTTCCAGCAGGTGGCAGATGATAATCATGCTAGTAACCTAATCTGGGTACAAATGATGTGTTTTCCAGGCTGTTTACTCAGATATTGACTTAAATCTACACATTATCTAGTGGCTATAAATGTTTCCGAAAGCAATAAACTAAGATTGCGTAATTGGAGCCCATTAGTAGTTACCCATGGTGCTATGTAATTAAATACTTGGGTATCAAGTGTGATATGATTTTTATTTTTAAATTCAGCCTTGATTTTTTTAATCTCCCAGATCAGAGAAATTGTTTCTATTCCAAAAACCACCAAATAACCATTTGGCTAACTGTGTTTCATGGTATAAGATTATCTTTGCTCATCAGCTGTGGAGGGATAGTGCTCCTCCATGTAGTCATGCCTGGATAGTTAACTGATGCTTCAAAGAATTATGGGTTAAAAAACAGTCACAAAAGGTGCTATATTGCCCTTCCTCTGTAGCTTCTCACTGAGAGAGAGCTGCTCTGTCTGATTGTTACTACTGACTGAAGGAGGTTTTATTCAGATTAACAGTCCTTAATGAGGACCAGATTTTGCTCCTTTTGCTCTTGTTGGTAGTCACCCGCACACATGAGTAATCCCAGTGTGTTCAATGGGAGCTATTCACCACACAGAGAGGGTGGCATTTGCAAGTTGACCTTCCAGTGTTGATTTCAATGGGGTATTTGAGCAAAGGAAGACCACAGGACCTGACCCATACTAAACCCGTGACTACATGGAAAAGTCTGGTCAAGGTTTACAGCAGCATGTGGGACAGCTGTGCGCCCCTGCTTGTGGGTGAGTGATGCAAAACTTCACCAAGTCAATGTAAACTTCAGAGCATCTGTTCTTACAGGTCTCACTTATAGGACAAAACTGAAACACACCTCAGAGGCAGACAAGTGTTTGTTTAATGTGTGTTTTGGGGTGGGTGTTCGTAATACAATCCCAATGGCTTTCCTCTGGATGGCTACACAATCCCCTGGGGTGGATAAGAGGGAGAAGAAGGGGTAAAAGCTCTCCTTGCAGTCCCCTCAAAAGAGATACTGCTGGTGCTGCCAGACTGAGAGGAGGTGAAATTTTGTCTCGGAGGTGGAGAGTAAGGATGGAGTCCTATTTTGTCAAATTAATTCTCATAAGGAACAGAGAAGACTGCAGATGAACTGATGACTTAAAAGCAAAGGAGATAAGAAAATTATGATTATGGCTGCCAATACACAATGGCTTGTGAAATATGGTTGTTTATATGCCTGTTTGTATAACCATACATTTATTGTAACAGAAATATTCAGTATTTTTAAACACTAGCAAGTCCTATTGCTGTTCATTTTTTTTCTCAATATTATTTGCTGTTTTCATCTACCAGTTTCACAAATGGTTAATGTGAACGATATGAGAATAGATACATACTTTTTAAACTGCAGGGAAATTCACCATATTTCATTCTTGTACATAATCACTGGGGGTTTTAGTGTTTTGTTTTGGTGGTTTTTTTTGGTTTTTTTGGGGTTTTTTTTGTAAGATCTTATTGCAGTTTTATTACATTATAATCTTTTATGGAAGGATAAAGGGATTTGTTCCTTCATAGGATAGCAAAGTTTATAAGCTCAAGTAAATCAGATATGGCCCAGAACACAATGCTTTTGCAAGTTTAACCAGAAAGTATTTCATGCTGGTAAACTTCATTGGAATCCTGAATGTTATGAGCTTGCTGCTGAAATGACTTGAATTTTAACATAGATATATTTTTTAGGAGAGAACTAGACTGACATATTTTTTGAAGTGATGAACAAGAATTAAAAGAGCAAAAAAATAAAAAGTTTAAAAAAACCCATATACCTTGAGTGTTAGTTGTATTGTCTTGGCTATTGTAACAACCAGTTCTTACTGGCCTCCTTTTCCTGTAATTAAAGCCATTTTTCTTTTCCCCCTTCTGGCCTCTTCCTGGCCCCATGTTCCAGCAACAAGCAGCAAAAATGTGGGATTTTTTGAAGGTAGCTAGTAAGAAAAACAGGTAGACGCACTTTACTTCCTGTACTTAGGGGTCACAGGGGAGATCTTGGCTTTCTTTAAGTGTAGAAACTGCAATGCAATCCCCAGTTTTCCTGATTCTGCTGCCTAGATCTATTTTTATCCAGTGTGTGAGTGTACCATACATATGTGCTGGTGCATACACAGAGCTCAGTAACAGCCACTTCAGTAGTATCTGCTCTTTCCCACGTTTCTCCTACAATTAAACGTTGTCACTTCTGTATTATTGTGAAATCTGTGCTTTCTTGTCACTGTTGCTGACACTTTGCTAATTAAAGGTTTCTTCTTGTTATCATTCTCTTTTCTTCTTTTATTTAGTGTAATGGCCAGAGTGTTTTTCTGCCAGACTAATCATACCAGCAGTTTCACTACTGTTTCGTCATTCCTCTGCAGCTACATCAGATGTGAACTCTTAGCCTGGGGAGACACAGGTAATCACAGACTCAGTCTTAATTTCCTACTTGCATAGTATATTTCTGCCATATCTCACTATGCATGGAGGCTGAAGGAAGGACTGCAGACTTTTCCTGACCAGTTGGTTGGGTGTAGGACTTCAGGAGCAAAAATACCCAGCTCTTTTGTTATCTTGCTGTGAGAGGTATCACTGCAAGGTCTGAATTTACCACTCAGAGAGGGAAAAGGATGCAGAGGCTCCAAGAAAGACTTCTTTGCTTCTCCACTCACTTTGCCAAGGATAAATGTTTATTGGGTCACCCTAGTCAGCATAGTTGTCATATCATGCAGCATCTCGACATGGATAGTAGCTGCCTTTAGGCCTGGTACAGATATTATTAGTTAAAACTGTCTACATCTTTCTAGAATTCAATTACAATATCTCAGTCATCATAGTCTTGCTTTTTATAACAGTGATATTTCCTTAGATTTGTCTTAAATATGTTGTTCCTTCACATAAATATAGGTAGCAGCTTTGTGCTACCCTGGGGATAGAAGGTTCATATTTTGTTAGTTTCTTGCATAATTCAAAAGGAGATTAGAGAGCTTCTTATATTCTGTTTCCTCCCAAGAGAAAGCTATCATGTAGATCAAGAGAGGAAATGATTTCCTTGCTTGGCACAAATGAGTCACAGAAAATGACCTTCTTTGTACTCTAATTTAGATTCAAGAATCCTCTGAAGAGCTGATAATATAAACCCATATGGCTTGGATGAAGAAAGTTGGGACAGACATTGTCACTAACAGACTCATCCACATCTTAAAAAGCAGTATTTCACTTTGCCTAGATTTTTTTGATGAGACTGCTGCAGCTGCCTACCTCATGTTGCCTGCACATGTGTAATATGCACATACATTACACATATATGTATGTCTAATATGCACATACATATATGATGCTGCTGCTGAGGTTTCATTTCAGCAATGGAGAAATTGCAAAAACAGCACACACTCTTTGGCTGTTTTTTATACTGTGTTTAACATCTTTAAAAATACATATTCATGTGAATTTTGAAACAGTGCTTGCATTTACATTGTTGGGCTGTATAACATCTGGAGACAAGTTTATTACAGAGGAAGCAACAAGCTTTCAGCTGTATGTCAAGAAAAAAAGGTCCAACAGAAAATAAACTAGCGCACTGATACACAGAAGCACTGACAAAGAGCTTCAGCAGAAAAGATCTGGTGGGAAACCAGAAGCGTAGCTGGACAG